AACTAAAGATTAGTCAGTTTTTCACTTGAGTTAGTTGCTGCATTATACAATGATGTAGAATAGTGATTGACGAGGTAATAAACAGAAGCATTATTCTTTCCCAAATTCTCTGGTCTCCATTTGTTAACAGTTGCAAAGAATGAATGAATGAATTATTGAGAAATATTCTTGTGATCAATTTCATTATGTGTAATATATTTATCTTCCTACTTTAGAATAGGTAGAATATTTTGATATATTTTTCTTCCTATTTTAGAACACCAACCTCTGTATATATTTGTGCTATTCCCGTTGAATATAGACACAGAATATTACACAGCAGATTGCTTATCATTTTTCTCTGGTTTTTTACATGGTATCAGAGCACTAGCTCTTGATTGCCTAACAATTTTTTCACATACCTTTCCAATCAAAATCCTCCCGATTCACCTTCACCTTCAATATGGTGGAACTCCGATCTCCTCAATTGAATCAAATTCTTCCACACCAAACTCTTCCACACCAATCCCCACTTCCTCTGCCATTATCAACAGTTGTTATTTCCTCCACCATGGAGAAAATCCCAACCAATCTCTCGTCACCGAATTGCTCAATGGAGAAAACTATGCTACCTGGAGTCGATCTATCAAAATTGCTCTCTCTACCCAGAACAAACTTGGTTTCATCAATGGTAAATTCAAGGCCCCGTCACCAACTGAGCAGCCCAATGAATATGAATTATGGGAACGATGCAATGATATGATTCTCTCATGGCCTGCTCACTCTGTAGCCCCTGATCTTACATCCAGCATTGTCTTTGCATCCACAGTCCATGAAGTATGGGAAGATTTTCGTCAGCGCTTTGCTCAAGGAAACGCGCCTAGAATTTATCAAATCCAAAAATCAATTGCCTCACATGAGCAAGGTACTTCTAGTATTGCTGTTTATTTCACCAAATAAAAATCATATCACCCTCCTTCAAATAGCACAAACCCAGATGTGTAAAAGATAAAGAAACAAAAAGAACAAGATCGGTTAATGCAATTCCTTATGGGTCTCAATGACTCCTACAATGTCGTTTGAGGACAACTTCTTCTTATGAGGCCTCCTCCTAATGTGCACGAAGCATACAACTTAGTTACTCAAGAGGAGAGACAAAAAGAAATAGGAAACAATTCTCTTACTGGGAATTTTTCAGTCGCAGCAGCTGTACAAAATATCAAGAATTCCAACCACAAATTCTCTGGTAAATCGGCTTCTCACCCTTCTTCTAATGTCAACACAAGTGGACTGTTTTGCAGACATTGCAAGAAAGACAACCATAACATTGCATAATGCTACAAATTACATGGATTCCCACTTGGACATCCACGCCATGATTCCAATTTCAAGCCTAAAATTTGCCAGCCACACCAAATGACCAGCAGCTGTCAAAGCTCACAATCCAACCAGTTTCATGTGGCACATGCAGCATCTATCACACCAACTGAGTATCAAGTCAGCATCGATGCCAATTCTCACAAATCTTTCCACAACAATCAGAATGCACTTGCTTCTCATGTCACCACCAACACTTATTTGCAGGAGATAGTTCCAGGCCTTTCAACCGAGCAATACCAACAATTGACCACTACCATGGCCAATATGGCAACACATCCAAGGGTAATATTGATGATTATACCAATACAGCAGGTCTGCACAAACATCCTTCTACTCACTCTATTTTTTCATGTTGTTGGATTTTAGATAGTGGTGCCACGGACCATATTACTTTAGACCCCACCTTATTTGCTCACTCACATCTACTTAACACACTAGTTGTCAATTTACCTAACGGTTCTAATGTCCCCATTGATTCTACTGGCACAATACTTTTCAATAAAGATATTGTTTTACACGATGTTCTTTATGTGCCTTCTTTTCGTCTAAACCTTTTGTTTGCCAGTAAAATTACCAAGTCAATACATTGTTGTGTGATTTTGTTCCCTGACTTTTGCGTTTTGCAGGACTTGGCTACGAGGAAGATGATTGGTTGGGGCAAGCAAAGTGGCGGTCTCTATTTCATGTCACCAGCCCGCAAGTCACCTACAACATATTCTACCACCACCACCAATACCACCTGGCACTATCGTCTTGGTCATCCATCTCCTAACTGCTTGTGCTCCATCTCTAAGTTTGTTCCTATTACTGACAATCAATTTTCAAATAATTGTAATATTTTTCCGCAAGCAAAACAAACTCGTCTACTTTTTCAATCTAGTACAATTTCTTCTACTTTACCATTTCAATTAATACATTGAGACATTTGAGGACCACATAAACATACAACACATTCAGGTGCACGTTATTTCCTCACCATCGTTGATGATTTCAGTTGTTGCACACAGCTATTTCTTATGTCACATAAATCTGATGCTCCAAAATTGCTCATGACCTTTTTTTAATTTTGTTTCCACTCAATTTCATTCTCACATTAAAATTGTTCGTATTGATAATGGTGGTGAATTTCTTTCTCTGCATTCTTTTTTTCTTCAAAATGGAGTCGAATTTCAACGGTCTTGTGTTTAGACTCCACAACAAAATGGAGTTGTCAAACACAAACATCGTCACATTTTACAAGTCGCCCATGCTTTACTTTTTCAATATAATGTTCCAATTTGTTTTGGGGGTGAATGTGTATTAACCACAGTTTATTTAATTAACCGTTTGCCTATACCATTACTTTCAAATATTACCCCTTTTGAACGATTATACCGTCATCCACCTTCTTATGATCATCTCTATGTTTTTGGCTGTTTGTGTTATGCCACTATCACTCATCTTATTCCCAAATTTGCCCTCCATGCTTATTGTTGCATTTTTGTTGGCTAACCTATAGGACAAAAAAGATACAAATTATTTGATTTAGAAACCAGAAATTTTTTTGTCAGTCGAGATGTGTGCTTTGATGAACAAACTTTTCCTTATAGTACAATACCCACCCACCAGTCATTAGAAACTGTATCCCCATAACTTCCACTCACCAATGCCTCTGATTTTGACCTTTCCACATCAGACCCATCTCACACCCAAAGCCCTCTTGTTGACAACTCCCCGTCGATATCACCAACACCCTCCTCACCACCAAAATCCACTGAACCCAATCCAACTTCTACTCTATCCCCCTTCTCATTTTTCTTTTCTTGCTAATATTTCTGGTTTCTGTGAGCCCACTAACTATTCTCAAGCAGTCCTTGATCCCAAATGGAGAGATGCTATGCAAGCTGAGCTTGATGCCCTTATACACAATAACACTTGGACCTTGGTTCCTCTACCTACCAATCATAAGCCCATTGGATGCAAGTGGGTCTACAAGATTAAATATAATTCTGATGGTTCTATAGAGTGGTACAAAGCTCGTCTTGTTGTTGAGGGCTACACCCAAATTGAAGGAGTTGATTATCTCAAAACCTTTTCCCCTACCGCCAAAATCACCACTGTTTGTTGTCTTACATCCATTGCCGCTTCACGTCATTGGTTCCTCCATCAACTAGATGTTCAAAATACCTTTCTTCACGACGATCTTGATGAGGTTGTTTATATGGAGGTTCCCCTTGGTCTTCGCCGACAGGAGGAGAATATGGTATGTCGACTCAATAAATCCTTATATGGTTTAAAGCAAGCTTCCTACAACTAGTTTGCAAAATTCTCTCACGCCATTCAAAAGGCAAGTTTCACCCGGTCAAAGGCCGATTACTCCTTATTCACCAAATCTGTAGGGTACTCATTTACTGCAGTGCTTATTTATGTAGATGACATTATTGTGACAGGCAATAATGAAAAAACTATTAAGTCCCTCAAGTATTATCTTTTGCAACAATTCCGTATCAAAGATCTTGGTAATCTAAAATACTTTCTTGGCATTGAAGTTTCTCGGTCCATAAAAGGAATTTTTTTCTCTCAACGAAAATATGCATTAGATATTTTGAAAGATACAGGATTACTTGGATCTCGTCCCAATTCTTTTCCAATGGAGGAACATTTAAAATTAAATCCTAAGGATGGCGATTTATTGCAAGATCCCATCAAATATAGAAGGTTGGTAGGGCGATTGATTTACCTCTCGGTGACAAGGCTAGATATAGTTTATTCTGTACAGATCCTAAGTCAATTCATGCAAAATCCACGGAAACCACATTGGGAAGCTACCCTAACAGTTTTACGATTTATTAAAGGTAATCCTGGTCAAGGATTATTTTTTCCTTTCTCTAATGATCTCACATTGAGGGCTTACTGTGATTCAGATTGGGCTGGTTGTACGATGACTCGACGTTCTATTACAGGATTTTGTGTCTTTCTAGGAAATTCCTTAAATTCTTGGAAATCAAAGAAACAAGCTAATGTAGCTCGATCTTCCGCTGAAGCAGAGTATCGAGCTATGGCTGCAACATGTTTGGAAATTATGTGGATACGATATATCTTGCAAGATCTCAAAGTACCACAAAATTTGCCGGCCTCTTTGTTTTGCGACAACCAAGCGGCTCTTCACATTGCCAAAAATCCCGTTTTTCATGAACGCACAAAGCATATTGAAATAGATTGTCACATTGTGCAAGAGAAAATACAAGATGGAGTAATAGCACCTTCATACGTCCCATCACGTTCACAAATTGGGGACATCTTCACCAAACCTTTGGGAAGTGAACAATTCCATTACTTAGTGTTTGTCTAAGCTCATAAGCTGGTTAAACTAGCTTATAAGCTTTAAAATTAAACTGACCTGTTTGTTTATAACTTTTTTAACTGGCACAAATGTAGTAATTATAACTATGACAATTGAGACAATTACATCGATGCTTTGGGAATGTGTGAACAAGAATTTATACTCTTTGAACTGGCATGATTATATTGCCTTATAATAAAAATGTACAGGATTTTTGTATAACATATCATTCTTTATATTTATAATGAAACTTAACTTTTGGAGATGTAATTCTTATAAGTGATCTATATATCATGCACCATTGTGAAGTGCAAAATAATCACTTATAGAAACAAATCTTCTTACCATAATTTCCTGGCAAACTTGGCTTATCTATGACTATTTTTAAGGCCCTCTTTAGCATTACCATGCCTTCATTTCCTTTAAATCCTTGGATCAACAATTCACATTTGATTCTTCCACCCACTGTCGCCATCTCAACCTTCAACACCTTTGCTTTCACTGACCTTAGCGCTCTCCCTATGTCTGACAATAATCCCGGTTTATCCTCGCAACTCAACGTGACTTTTACCAACCCTCCATCGCCATTAGAGTAGCTTAAGTTCAACTCATTCACCTCATTGGGGAATTCACATTTGTGGCGATCTCGACCCACTGTTTTTAATTCTTTGACCGTCTTCTGCAGCTCCCTCACGCTTTTAATCGTCTCTTCTAGCACGGATGCCTTGTCCGTCTGTTGTTTAAATTAATTTTTTCATCCGTTGTTAATTATAAACTCTACGCATGTAATCCCTATACGTAAATTAATTAACCACTCGTCATAAAAATTGATGTCTTTTCTGTAAAAATTAGATATCACTTTTCAAAAAATAAAAATAATAAAAAACTATAAAAACTGATGTACTAGTGGTAAAGTTGATAAAAAAAAATTACCCTTTTTTTTTTTTTGAGTTAATTCATTCTGAAATATTTACTTACTTTGACTAAGTTGGGTAAGATGGTCCGAAGAGTGGCATACTGGCCATTGATTCGAAGTCGTCTTCTCCGTTCAGCCTCACTATGTTTCTTAGCAGCAAGTTCTTTATAATGAAAGGTTGCGTCGGTGGGGATATCTCGTTCAGGGTAGCTAACTTCTTGTTTTGAATATGTCGCTGATTTGTAGTAAGTTTGAATTGGTTTTGCTTCTTTCTCCAACTACAAGTACAAAATCAAGAAACCAAAAAAATAACAAATAAAAACTAATAGTACTATGAAAACATGGAAGAACAAATAATGGAAAGTGTACGCACAAATCCAAAGAGAAAGAGGAAGGTATATCGGTACCTGTTGCAGTGAAATCATGGCTTGGAACAGAAATTGACTGCTTTACAAATTGTTGCTTAATTCTGTAAAGATCGGAAAGATGGACTATTTTTTTTCTTGTAAAACACAAGAGAACAAAAAGAAAGATACTAATGTTAATAAATCATGGTTTGTTTCAGGTATTTTGCTATGTTAAAGAAATAAATAAGATGAGTATTTTTGCATTGAAGTGAAAGAAGATAGAGAGGTATCGAACATAATAAATGGCAATTAAACAGAGATGATTTCATATATACTTAACTTTTATGGATATCAGCATATCTCTTTTGAAATATATATCTACACACACAAATTCCCCGTGCATGTAATAGATCGAGTACAGCTCTAAATATGACTACCAACCATATCATAGATTTCAGCTGTTTAGTTTATTCTTGGTTTCTAGAATTCCACCAATCATATCTCACTATATCAGTTTGGTTAATGAATTTGTATTTGTAGTATTATCAGTATGGTAAATAAGTTTTATAATTTATTAAGATAAAAAAAATACCAGAATTTTAATTGAAATTGGAATATATATAAATGTCTCGAGAAGCAAATAGTATGTTTATTATTTAAAGTTGTTTGTCCTTATTAGCTTTTTATCTTTCTATAATTTCAAATTTTGAAAGTAGATCAAAATTAAAAAAAATCTAAATGATATGTGAACCGAAAATAAATTTTCGGGAGTTAAAACGTTTTTGAGTATACATAATATATATATATACTCACTTTATAATTGAATTTATTATAATCTTTATTAAGAAGAGAATCACAGAATTTTTTATTCTTTACTAATTTAGAAATGAAGAAAAAGGGTGTGAAAACAAAAAGAAAAAATGATACAGAATGAATTCTACCCAAAAATATTAAAAGATTAGAGAATTGAATACTTATTAGAATAAATAACCTTGAATATTATATAATAAATAATCTATTCTAGCTATTGTAAAAAAAATTGAAATAATTTTGGATACATATAATAAATTATAAAAATTAAAAAATTTATTTGGCTATAGCTTTGTACCAGTTTTTTCTTATTTTGGATAAAAAAAAAGTGTTTTAAACAAGTGAGTATAAGTCCATTTCTGGAATATTTTGAAATTAAGAATTTAACATGCTTGTCTCTATAAATATTATTGTTGTCTTTTGTTTTTTACATATTAAAACAATAACCATGGCATGAAATAACTTAACAACTCTTAGTTTGTTGATAGTGCAGTCAATGTTCTAACTGTAGCTGTTTTAAACAAGAGAGTATAAGTCCATTTCTGGAATATTGTGAAATTAAGAATTTAACATGCTTGTCTCTATAAATATGTGTGTGTTTTTTGTTTTACATATTAAAAACAATAACCATGGCATGAAATAACTAAAAACTCTTAGTTTGTTGATAGTGCAGTCAATGTTCTAACTGTAGCGATGGTGACCTGACCTTGCTGTAACAGTTGGGCTTTTTAAAAACAACATTCTGCTTTGAGGTTGGGGCTCTTTTAGAAATTTTCTTTTGTTGAAGAAGGCATTTTGTTTGATGATGATTTTCTTGGAAACATGGACAATTAATTTTTTTTTTTTCAGTGAAAAAAGCACTAACTGGTGAAGCAACAACTCCCTGAGAATAAATTAGTAAGGGTATCGAGAAGAAAGAAATTTGATCATATGCAAGTACTTTTTTTAACTAATATATTTTTTATTATGTATATATGGAGGTTTTACATATTTTCTGTGATTAAATTAATTAATTCATGTCATATATATATATATATATATAAATTGTCAATCACCTTAGTTGTTAGCTACAGTGAATGGAAGAAATTACCTTTGGGTGATCGAGTGGTTCGATAAGGATTTTTGGGTGTATTACTTAAAAAGTCTTGAGTTCAAGTCTCTCCTTAGGTTCCAATAGTGATAGCCACTCAAGCTCTTACCCGACTAGTAATTTCTAAGCCCCAAAAGATTAGTTGAGGTGCACGTAAGCTGACCGAACAGCCCCGATCATAAAAAAAAAAAAAAAAAGGAATGAATTGAAGTCAAAATAATGTATATGTGGTACAATTTTTAATTTGACTTACTGAATCTAATTCTTGGGGTACATCTTCTTTAGAATATGAATATAAGATGATTGTAGAACATACTCGCTAAAAAGAGTGGGAAACATTGTTACCCTCCACCTCCAAAGCTTGGAAGAAAAGTATGAGTGACTTGACGATATATCTTTTGTTATAAATTTTTTTTCCTTCGATTATGATATGATTATAATGTTTATAAGTTTAAATAGTATGTCATCCTAATTATTAGATAAAATGAATACTTGTGTTACAAGCAGTGATTAGAAACCCGACCCTTGCAGTGACCCAGCCAGGCCACCGGGTCATGGGTCGAGCATTTTAATTGGCTGGTCAAACCGATGTCTAAAGGTTTGAAATCTAACAAAATTACCCTAAAAATCACATGTGAGTCCTAATAGGTTTGAAATCTTGCAAAAACACCCCAAGCACCACCATCGGCATCGACAAATAGGGCATGTTTCTGCCAACGACAACACTCCCTATCACCACGAAAACACTTCCCTCGGCCTCCTGACCAAAACCCATCTCACCCCTCCCTCGTTCGCCTCCCCAATCATTGGTGACAATTAGGTTTGTTTTGTGATTTCTGGCGACACTGTTTTGCAATTTCTAGTTGATTCACTACTAAAAGTCGACATTTTTGCCACCATTCCACTCACCGGTCATTCCTCTTCAAAGCCCTAACTTTTCAGCCTTCAATTGTTCACGGACTGATATCCTAATTTCTAGGGTTTTGAATGAATAGAAAATTTTGTAACCCGAGTCGGTACAGGCGGTGGGTCACTGTTGAACTAGTTCAACCGACCAAGCCGGGCTAGATTTCGAATCACTGGTTACAAGTAAAATGTGTAGCTTCTAAAAAATCACAAAATTCCACCATTGAATACCAACGAGGACGGAAGTTGATCTTTAGTACAATATTGCACATTGCAAGCCTTCACTAAATTTGTAGTTGGATTTTTTTCCAGACTTAGGACTTTATTTCCTTCTAACCCTTTAAATTGCTTTCTTGAAAATATCGTAAATAAAAATCAAATTAAAAGAGAGAGTCTTTCAAGTATAAGGAATGAAAATCATAAGTTAAATTCATTATAGGGCTTTTTATATATCTTTTTATCTTTTATAAGATGTTCTGCCGCCACTGATCAAACTCGAACCAAGAGGCTCTAGCATTGCTTCCTAAGAGCAGCGTGTATATTGATTTCACCATAGCGGCTTACTGGAAATCATAATAACCTATTTTTACTCAGTCGCCTAATATGTCTTCTTTGTGCCACCCAAATTTCCTTAACAAAATGTGGCTCCTATGATTGCCAAGTTAATTACTTTCTTCTATGTTCGGTACACTTAGCAAGAAGAAAAGCGAGAGAATTAGAAAAAAAGTCAACTACAAATTGACAACAATTTTTTTTTTAAAATACTATATAACTATGATATATTTAGATTTTTGGAATGTGTTAATATGTTATTTGACTTGGTGATTTTAAATCCATGATGTTAATTTAGTGTTAGATTTTTGGTTAAAGCTTGTTGAATATTAAACTTATTCGGACCCAAGACTATTTGGGTTTATCACCTGAACCCATATAGATTGCTAGTTTAATATTTCTTCCTAGGCCTAATGTAAAGCCCATATTTAACCCATTTATTTAGCCCAAATAATTGGCCTTGTAACTAGAAAAATCTTATAAAAATATCTCATTTATTAGCAGACCTGGCAAAACGGGCGAGTGGTTCGGATATGGGCCCAATGGATACTGATCCAAAATGGGTCGATTCTCAACCGGTCCAAAATATTAGATTTGGACCCTATCCTATTGAGTAGAGGTGTTCGGTTCCGAGTACCCTACACTTTTTGAAGGAACCGGAACCAGAACCAGAACCGACGGTTCCTTGAAATTTGGAACCAGAACCGGAACCGACGGTTCCGGTTCCTAGGTATCCAGAACCAGAACCTGTAACAATGGTTCCGGTTCCAGTTCTGGGTACCCTGTAAAATTCATGACCCCCCAAAAGTTTTTAAAATGGCAAAAAAACCCTTAAAAATTTACAAATACCCCCCCACTTGGCACTTGTTAACAAAAATAAAATTACAAATTATAAATTCAAAATTACAAGCTTCATTACTTTGTAAAGGTAGATTCTCAAAAGTGAAACCAACTTACTTTAAATGTTATGAAATATAAATATAAATGTATTCACATTACTTTTTCTATAAAAGTTTTTATTAACCCTCCTAATCTTTAATTTTATTTTATATTAGTCTTGGTTCCTGGTTCCTGGTTCTGATTCTGGTTCCTAATTATAGGAACCAGAACCATACAGTAACGGTTCCAAAGATTTGGAACCGGAACCTACCCATTGACGACTGGTTCTGGATAGGAACCATAACCAAACCCAAGGTACCCGCCGGTTCCGGTTCCTACCGATTCTTTTGAACACCCCTACTATTGAGTATGGGTGGACTTGTGGGTATCCATACTGTTCACTCCAATTTGCAATTTTTACAGTTACACCTTCACAATTTATCCAATTTTCATTTTTTTGTGAAGATGAGTTGTTTACAATCACACACAATTTAGTGAAAATGGTGGACCGTACTTTTTTATTTTCAGTTATAAAGGAGAAAGTGGCAGAGAAATGGGTGAACTCCACCCACTGGAGGAGACTCCTCAACTAATACTTGTGATAAAACCAAATGTTGAAATATGAGAAGCTCCACGAAGATTTGAAATGGTAAATGCTAAAGATGATGTGACACAAAAGGCAAGTTAAAGAAGAAGAGAATCGGGATTTTGGTTCGTCATGAAGGCATTATTGGAAGTTAACCAACTCCCACCAACCAATTAAATACCAAATTCATCATTCTCTACAAAAATTGTATTAATAATTGAATAATTTGGTGTAACAAGATGGCAGGAAGGACTAATTTCTAAGCGGCTACACCTTCAAAATTAATAAATGTCTTTACTACTAAAGGCAAAGATTGACTATTAAGTTAATCAATGTAAACCATTTTCTGAAATTAGTTAAAATTATATTATATATACAGATATATTTAATTGGGTTTTTCATTTTTTTTAATACAATCAAAAATGAAATGTTATGACAATAATAATTAGAATAACGAAGAAGAATTTCAATAGCTGCTTCAATAAATATACTACAAACCCAACGACGCAATCTTATCTTATCAACCTACAACACACAACATTTATTATGAGAAGCGTAAGAAATCAATCAGCACAGGAAACATAAGAACT